GCTACAAATTTATTGCGTTCAAAAACCCTCAATCGCTACCAATTTAGTTCCTTTTTTGGATTTATCAGAATCAATTTTTTGAGTCAGAGGTCTACAGTTACTGGGTGAGTTTTTTTTACTTCTTTGGTATCGTTGTTTTAAAGTTTTCTTGGTGGTTTTCGATGTTCAGATGCTTTTTGCATATGAATTTTGGATGGTTTTGTATATGAATTTTGTTTTTATAATATTAGGTATTTTGTTTCTATCCTTAGATTTTAATATTTTTTGGGGTAAAATATTTAATTACATCATGTTATGGGTTTTTATGGGTTCAATTGGCAGTTCTGATTTTCCTTTGGTTTTAATCTTCTCTTGCTTCTCTCAGGTGTATCTCTGGAATTATCCTTTGGTTTCCATCACCATCACCCAACCAATCCATCATACTCATCATTACACCCCACTAATTGCTCTCTCACTCTCTCCCACCCCTCATTTACTCTCTCATTACACTCAAATTTTGGATTTTTCAAGAAAGGCAGTCTGATTTGGAGAAGACTTCTCAAGCGGTTATAATTTCATGGTAGGTTGGTTTAAGGCAGTTCCAAAATTTAGGATCGTTTGGGATATTTTTAGTTTTTTTTTTCTAATTCTTGAAAACCCATGGTTAAGAGTAAATTTATTATATTTTAATTTTTATTGAATTCAGGTAACCATCGTCAGTTTTTCGGTTTGATTTAAAGGAATTTTTAGTTAGAAAAGCTAGGGCTTTGCAGTTAGTTCTTCGGGTTGTACCTCCGGGTGGTTTAAATTTGTTTAAATTTGAGTTTTTGTGATTTGGGATTTATAAATGGATTGAAATTTACGTTTTTTTTTATTTCAATTCCCACTCAGAAGTTTGTACTCCCTCATCATTAGAATTGTTTCCTTCTGCTCTTCTTCTCGAAACAAGGTCACAGATCCACATGCCATCAAGGTATGTTGTTTAATTATATATTGTACATGTATTTATTGTATTGTGCATGTGTGTGAATGTGTTTTTCTCTGTTAATCTGTATTGGTTTTCTATTCTGATTTAGTTAATCGGGTTTGTTTTTATTTCAGTTGTTTGGTTCATGCTAAAGTTATTGAACGGTAGAACACCGGAACCAGTGATCTTTCAAAAGGGTTGGTTCTTCTATATATTTTTATCCTTTTGGTCGTTTTGAATGGACTTCCTGTATTCTAAATGAAGCTAAATTGAATAGTTGTTTTTGTATATTGTATTTGCTTTGTTAAATTAGTTCTTTTTTGTTGAAAAATGTTATTTAGTTTTGCAGATCAAAGTTTTTCAGCAAGAAAAATATTTGGCAAATTAAATTTAGATATGAATACTTACATTTATTTAGCATTTTCCATTCGTCTTTACTTTTAGTGCATTGTGGTTGTAAATGTCATTTAGTGCATTGTGGTCTTAATTTAATTGCGTGGTTGGTTTCAGGATTTCTTGAGTCGAATAACAGCTTGGGTGATCAAAAGGTAAAAAAGTAGTTGGTCTCTGCTTGCAAGATGACTTCTTTCTGTTGCCAAAATTAGACTAACCGTAATCAACCCAATTAAGTCCAAATTTTAATGCTCGCAAGTGTACGAATCTTTAAGTATAGTAGGCAAGCACAAGATCGTTCCAACTAAGATTGAAATAATTTTAATTATCTAACTTAATTTGTATTGCACTTGAATTGAAATGGAAAAATTAATGATTTGAGAAAGAACTTCGAAATTGTAAATGTAAACAAAAATCAAATGAGCTTAAATAAATGACAAGAACAACAAAGAAATCAAATTATAAATCAATTTCGAAAAGCACTAGAGCATCCGATTCACCATAACCAATCCAACTCAATTCCTATAGTTAATTATTAATGAGTAATCATCCAAATTGACGGACTAGTTTCTCTAACTCATATAGTATCCATGGCATCTAGATTACTATGTATACTCATATGTGCTAATAGTCTATGGCATCTAGATTACTAAACACACACAAGTTCATTAACGATTTGAGAACTACTTAAGAGCCTGCATGAAACCTAGTGTATGGCATCTACATCAAGGAATTCATGGTACCATTTGCAAGACGCTAAAACCGAATTAACAACATGCCATCTGTGTTAACTCGCATCAAATACACTCAACTCAAATAAAAGTGGTGGCCAATCACCAAGATTAAAATCAAGCTCATAAGCACAGCAAAATGATACTTAACTTGAATAAAAATTCATAAATAGTTAAACTGAGAAATTATGAATTCATAATTAGGCTACATCGTAGCCCTAGCGAAAAGAAATTAGTTCCGGAACATAATTAGAAAAATGATTGAATTCATAAAATTAAAAGAAAAATAAGTTTAGAAAAGCCTGAAAATCCCTTTGCTTGCCGCTGTCTTCTTCTCATTTTCTTCTCTTGTTATCTGCTTCCCTTTTTAAAATTGATCAGTTCTCTTTTTCTTCTTTTTGCTCTTCTGTTTTCATTTCCCTTTTTCGTAACCGACAACGGCTTAAAAGCCCATTTATTGAAAACATTAGAAGAAAAGAAACGGAAGAAACCTTTTAACTCCTTGCTAGACACTTCGTGTGTTTAGACACCTTGATCAAAGCTTGAAAGACTAGAACGCCTAAATCACACTCAAGTTGGTCTACTTGCTGCAACGAGGCCTCCACATTGTCCTTTTCTACCCTGCTAGATTCCAGCTGGAAATTTCATCTCCAAAGTGATATATCAACCAAATTTGAAAGTACCCAAATCTCCATTGCAATTGATGAGAATTAAAGATAAAAAATGCCCAATTCATGCTTCCACCGCAAATCAACAAACTGGAGAGTGGAATAGAAATATGGATTTTCATTCTTCTTCAATTTTGATAAGCTGCAGTGCGCCGGCTTGCTCCTGGAAATTGGGAGAGAAAAACAACCCTTTTCTTCTGTCGGTGCAAATATGAGGATAAAAGCATTTGTTTTGTTGAAGCGGTCACGTGATTGTCATCCTTTTAGTGTGCAATAAGGAACCTGCTTAAAAATTGATTAATAGGAAATGAGTCTTCAGGGGGACCCAACTGGGATAAGTCAAAGTAGACTAATAAATGGTAAATACAAATAGTCGTCTAAACACCATTTTACCAAACATAATTAAACACCACCAGACTAAAATGAAAATCATAGAAACATAGCATAATTTTCCATATCATTAATCTAATCTTAAAAACACCAAAACATGTCATTTCTTTCATTTAAATCCGAAATTGTAGTTTTCAGAGTACAATAAATGATAAAATATGCGCTCATCACTTTCCATGCACGTCCTCCCTCTAAGTCAACTGAGGATTCAAATCCAGCGGATCCAGCTCGAGATATAGATAGCACAATTCCAACTCTTAAAAAGGTATAATTTGTTAATTTTTTAGTGATGTGTTTTTAATGGAATTGAAGATTTGGGTAGTGAGTTTTTACAATGGTGTTAATTTTTTTAACAATTTATAATGCTATTTGTAAAATTTAGTCAGGTTTTTTTTAACAACTATAATATCGTTTGATTTCAATTTGTAATTACTTCTTTTGATACATTTAAGCTTAGTTATGTTAGTAAATCTTTATATCTTATGTCCAAATACATGTACAATATAGTATTTGATACATATGCAGTAGTGTATATGTAAAGTTTTTATATTGTTGCTGACCATTTTCAATGTAAGCATTTTGTATGTAGAGTGTGAAAAATGCCTTCTTCACAAAGGCAAAATAGAGAACAGATTCTACTTCATATGAAAATAAGAGGTTAGTTTGATTGTCATTGCTTTTTTTTTATATGGTTAAATTCTAAGTTACTTGGCTTACGTGTAATTTAATCGCTTGCTTGCCCAAGTTGAAGTCATTCGTTTTATTAATGCTAGTGACCAAAATCAACCTGAGTTAATGTTATAACAATATCATAATTTTCATTAGTCTTTGATTGCCTTAACCCTTTTCTTTTCCGTCTTTACCAAAATTTCATGAAATTTTTGCACAATTTTTTTTTATAGAAATTAAGTTTATTCACTATTTTACTGTCTCTTGGTAGATTTTTTTTTATTTGTTGTTCAAAATTAGTATTGCAAATTTTAAGTGGTCGAACATACCCTTTTCAGATTAGCATCTAATATCTTCTTTAACACAATTTTTTATATTATATTATCAAAAGATCGTTGTTTTGTAATTTCAGAACAATGTGTTGATGGAACACAAAAAGGAGGAGTCCTTCAACATGGAACATGAAGATGTAATTAAAGTTTCTACATAAGCTACTATATACTTAATTAACAATGACAATGATGAATCTCTTCGCATTGCAAAGCTCATCCTCTCCATTAGCAATCCTAGACAGTTCGAGGTAACATCCTCAATCCATTTAATCAATTTTATTTGTTTGAGCTATTAATTATCGCACAAACCCAATTAAATTTTAATACAAAAATTTGAATTTTGTCTTAATTTTAATAGTTGGAGTTAGTAATATATATCATTGATTTAACATTGTACAGCTATTCTTCCATGCTGGTTCCGCAAATCCATGTACTCCGACACCTATATGTTAGTTATTGTAAATATCTTTGTAAATATATTTCCACTTGAATATAAATAGTGTTGTATATTGTACGTATTTAGAACTCTCTGCATGTTTTAGTTTTAAAACCCACAGCAACGCGCGGGCACCATTGCTAGTGAGATTCTAAAAGTACAATTTACTTGCATTTAGTACTATAGTCTAGTGGTATTTCTATTCACTTGTAAGTGAGAGATCTTAAGTTCGATTCCAGTCAAATGCGAATTTGAACCATATTATTGCTAGCCCGTTGTGAGGTTAAACCAACCCCCTCCTCTTAGTGTAGATAATATCGTTTGTGAAAAAAATAAAATAAAATAAGGTTTAGATTACATGCCAACAACATTGCACAGGAAATTAAAGAAAAGTATAACGTTTATTCTCAATGAAAATAACAATGATATGAATGCTAACATAAATACAGGGTTAAAATACTAAACATTCTTGAAGTTGGAGTTTATTACCGAATCCGGAACACATACATTATACATGCCTTAGGCCCAAAAACATAAAGAGTGCAGAAATCCTTTATCATTATTCTTTAAACAAATCCTAAAAACTTCCTCAAAAGTGACAGAAGCAAATATCAACGCAAAATGAGTAAACAGTTTAAGACGAACTGAAAGACCAATGTTTGCTTTTTTGTTTGATCAAAAATATTCCAGCTCCGTAAGTAGAAATGAAGATCTCAACAAGAAGGGAAAATTGCATCCATACAAAGGAGACAACCGGAACACTAGCAAGTAAAATCATTGGATACACCATCCACTTTTTTGCTTCCAGCATAAGAAAAAGGGTTGAAGAAAACGCGATCATCATGGCAACGATAGAGGAGAAGAGGGTGAAAAGGCCTATCATCATTTTTGTTGGTAGTGATTTAAGAAAATCATTTTCAGCATAACGCGAGTTAAGAATTCCTAAAAATGTCAGGACTGAAGTTGTGGAAGAAAAAAGTGAAAAGACATCCGCAACTATAAAGACCATAAATATCCTTTTATTTAGGAAGACTGGAAAGCCTGCTTTGCTCCCACCAGGAACTGAGAATACTGCAATAAACATGATTGTAACAATAAGAGCAGCTACAACCGTACAAGAAGTTGCAGTTGCTTTCATTGATCTTTCACCTTCTTTTGCCAATTCCTTGTGGTTCTTAGTAAATAGATCGCGGGCGGTCATACCATCTGGATGGTTAACAACTTCAAGAAACTTGGAAGGTACAATTTTCTCCACCTCCTGCATTTCAGTGAATAGAAGAAACTTAAATTTTCTTTAATTTATTTTCTTCGAAGGCACTCAAATCTAACCCCAAGTAATTAATACTTTCGTACTCTTACAAATCCCTGATGTATGCCCTTTGACCTTGAATGTATATGCTCAAATCTAATCCCAAATAACCTAACATTCTGAGTTTGTAACAGTAATCAAAATTTCATTTTTGTGATTTCATTTTTAATTTGGTTGTTTCCTATTTGAGGTGCAAATTGCTGTCACAAATAATCAAGTTTTATTTGGTATAGTTTCCAAATAATCAAAAGTAATATACCGATTGACCACGTGGCTAGAACTTTATACAGTAAAACCTATTAATTTATAGACCTTGTGGATTGCTTTGGTGATAAACTCTTTATTTTTTTTACTTAAATCTAAACCCTCATTCATTTAGTCTAGCTTAAAATAGTAATATTGTTTATAAAATTTTTGTTCCAATTTCGGCCAATTGTAGTCTAAACTTCGACCCCTATTTCTTTCTTTCTTCAAAAAAGATAAAATGAATCTAGCCAAAAATAGACTCTTGCAGAAAAGAATCAAAATAATATGATGTGCTCCTTTCGGCCAATTGTAAATAGAAATTATCTCCGTAGTCATAATTAGATCTCAAACTCGCTATCGATGAGAAAAAAAAAAATATATATATATATATAGAGAGAGAGAGAGAGAGAGAGAGGAAGAAATTCTAACCTTAAACCATTGTAATTCTCTTTGCATTTGCAGTGCTGCACATTGGATATGTTTAAGCTGTGCAGGTGGGGATAACCTCGCTGCTGAATGTAGTAAAGTATTGTTGAACTTATCTACTCTGGATTCAGTACGAACATTCATGATTTGGATAAATTCATGAAAAAAGTTATAGACTTTTTCTTGACGGCATTCAATGGAAAACTGAAACATGCCCTTTGCATTTTCGTCATATATCCCTAAAGCTAGGATATTTGCTGTAAACAGCTGACGAAGAAACTCATCATTCCCATATTCAACAGCTTTGAAGAGTGCTGTTTGTACGGAACTTCCTTGCATTTGTTTAAGGCTTACACCTTCTGTCATTTTGCACATGCCTTGTAAAACTTCAAGGGATTGGACATGGATCTGTTTCATTTTGTACATGTGATCGATTCCTAGGTTGACATAGAAAAATAACTAATCATTAAGTTTCAAAAGTGTGACCAAAAGAAGTTCTAAGCGATGACTGGATAAATGTTAAGAGTAAAATTTGAATGAAAAGATTAACAAAGTGTTGACAAGAAGCATTACCGAAAAGTTTCCGGAGATTTGAGACAAGCCCTCGCGGTAAAGCCATAACTACATTGCAAATACAAAATGTTTTGCATTAGCTATTCAAAGAATTTGTTAATTAGGTATGATCTATAACAAAGTAAAAGATGCGCCTGAGGTCATAACTCTCGTTTTACTATATATGTGGAAAAAAATGCGTAGTGCCATTTTATATGGATATTGTATACCTGAGCGAATTATGAGATCCTTTTGATCATTAACCGGGTCATTGGCTTGTTTTTGAACATCTATACGAACATCACGGATCTCAGAAGCATGTCGTATTTGTATACCTATAAAAAAAATAAACACATGCCTCTAGTCAATATATAGAACATTTTTTTAGTCGAGGGTCTGGACACATTGAACATTTTCTTTAATATTTATGTCTGTGAAAAGAGAAGTTAAGGTGCATACCCAAAATAAATGATTAATGGACACTGATAACGACAGAAGTACACATTAAATTTTTTAACACTTATTTTTAGACACTAAAAAATAAACTCAAGAGGGAAAATAACTTACACTATAATATTTGAGCAAGACCTAAACTAGTGAAGAAAAGCATAGTGTGGATACAAATTAATCACGTCCAATCATAGTGTGTCAAGGGGAATATAAGCTCAATTTGACGGAATTACCTCCAATATCGTGAGAAACCACAATCTCCACTCTAAGTGGGTTAAGCAGACCAACTCTCAAAGGACCGGCAAATGCCCACAACTATCAGGCCCTAACCCCCGATTCTTGCCAAGCTAGCTAGCAAACATTTTGTTTTTCTTCGAGGGACATGGTTGTCGACCCCTTGCACCTCAACCCTATATAAAGTTGAGGTTCAATCATAAAATTAACTGACAATATAGGGAGTAATCCAACCCCTTATAAGTCCTTGCAAGGTTTCTCTTTTCACCAATGTGAGACTCTTTACCTTCACATCATCACACAGCCCCTTACGTGTGATTAACTTTTGAACCAAATACGTGGACAACACAAATTGGGTGATGTTGAGCACGTGTGACCATTGAGCTTCATAACCTACAAGTGTCTAAGCAGGCAAGGGAAGGGAGACTCGTTGACTAGCATAAGCCCGCTACGGCCTAGTAGATGATTTATGGACCTCTTCCACTATAAATAGTCAAGTCATACAAGGAAACTGGTTTATCACAAACTCTATTTAGAATTCTCTACTGAATTTTAGTTTTTCTCAAATACTCTTTGACTTAGACATCGGAGACAGAAATTTCCATCCAGACATAGAATGCATTTTATTGTTTTAATTTTTTCATATTAAGTATAATATATATATATATATATATATATATATATATATATATATATATTTAGGTTTTAAGATAAATCAAATTGCGGGAATCGTGTGCATGTCTCCTTGCATGTATAACATATAGGAAATATCTTATCGAAAAACCGAACGACGCCCACCCAACTAGAGGGAAAGAGAAATTAATAAAGTATAAAATTCATCATAGAATAAAAAATGTAGTTACTAACGATTATAGATCCATTGTTGCCAGAATCTGAGACGTGTTCCACTTAAAAAGAGAGAGGGCATACAAGCCAATTCCTCTAAAAGTGTTTTCCCAGTAGAGTTTGTGGCAAAGGCCAAGTTTGGACAACGCTGAATTAGATCCAATGCAATATCTACAATAGGGAAAAAAAAAAAGAAGAATTATATACATGGAAAAAAAGAAAGTAATCAATATTTGTTAGGGAACATGCTATTTAAACACATTCTCAAATACATGTGAGTTCTATAAATAATGAAACGGTCCACCTTAGTTATAGTGTGTCAGAAAATCTGTGCGAATATTGTATCTAAAACATTTATGTACCCAGTTCTTTGGAGCTAAAACAGTGGGAAATAAGATCAGCACCAGTCCGACAGTTATCTTGGGTCGACGTCAAAGCTTCCAATGGAGTAACTGAATAGAGATAGCGAGCCAATCCCCAGTGGCCGCCATGACAAGCCATGATCAGTGGGATCATATTCTGGAGATTGCATGGTATGCAAAGTAATCTCTTGTTTTTTTCGATTATGCATCTAGCCACTTCGAGTCCTATTAGCGTAGCTAAAGCTATAGCTGTGACACCATTAGCGTCTTCTATTTCCAAGTCTTCCTTTGTCATCCACCCCACTACTTCTTTCGCCATATATTCGTTTCCCATTGAAACTGCCATGTGAAGAGCTGTCAAGCCTGATAATGAACCTCTTTCTCTGATTGCGTCGGGATGCATAGTAAGATACTTCTTTGCAGAACTCCAGTCACCTTTTGCAACAGCATCAATCAAGGGTTGATGGTGGGGGAAATCGTTGAAGTCGCCATTAGTTTTAGGGTTCTTTAGATATAAGTCCATGCAACACTTATTTCCTTGACAAAAACCCATTTCATTGTAAACATCCAATAAAACCCAAATTTGAAGTAGACTGCCAGGTAAACAAATAAATACCTATTATTTTCAAACTATTTACAATTGTGCCACAACACTCTAATTATGTTAATGAATTTAATTATCCACCATAATTGTGAGAAATAAGTGCCTTATTATTATAAAATTATCTACTTTATACTTCTCTTACCATCATATATTTCATTTCTTTTATTTGTTTGACAATCATTGTAGGTAAATTATTTTGCATGTATGTATTAGACACATTTTGTTAAAATTATATATATGCATACAAATAATTTATCTATATTTTTATGTAAAATAATATGTAATTAATTAATTTGAATCAATTGGCTACAAACATTTATTTATTTTGTAGGTAAATTATTTTTCATGTGATATTACATATGTACTAGCCACATTTTGTTATTTATATAGAGTGTGCAATCAATCGACATTCTTTTATTTTGTAGGTAAATTATTTTGCGTGTAGGTAAATTGTTATATATATATATATTTTTTTATTTTTTTTTTTTGCAAAATATTGGTATTTAATTAATTTTGAATAAAAATATTTATTTATTTTGTAGGTAAATTATTTTGCATATATGATTACATAATTTACTAGGAACTTATATTGTTATATATGTTGTGCAAAATAATTTACCTATGTTACATTTAAAATATTGATAATTTTGAATACATTAACTTTTTTATATTTGTAGGATATACTAATTTACATGTTAGCATCATGTGAAAACAACCATATAAGGAACATTGGTATCATGTAAATATTTGAACATTTAATTGAATGAAATAATGTACAATAAATGGAGTCATGATGGGTTTTAATTAAAGAAAATTGAGTTTCAAGGGGTGTAGTCATATTTTCAATTAGTTTTATAATACTCTGTCAAGTAATATTATTTATTGTTTGTAAACTAAACGTCAAGAATTTGGGGACAAATCATACATAATGTTGAAATAAAAGAGATCTGATCAAATACAATTAAACAAAACAATAGAGATTCATACATGCTGCAGTAGATATCACATAATATTACTACGTACGTACCCTCATTCCGCGTCAGACCGGTATTCAGCTCTTCATGTGCCATCAAAGGCACATCCTCTGCATCGATCACTCACGGTGACTTTATTAGAAGAAGAAAACTAAATCTTAATAGCTATACTATTGGAATTTACTTGGAAAGGAGACATGTAGTACGTGCGTACACATACCTGTGTTTTCCAAGGCTTGATCGGTCGGCTTCAACTTTTCAGCCAAAGTATCCCAGGCGACTTTGGCCGAGCTAATGCCCCGGATAATAAAATGAGTATCATCTCCGCAACAAGTATGGATTGCATGTAAAACCTTGGCGTTATTCTTCCTCCAAACCAAAAATTCCGCTTCACCATCTTCTTGTCTAGGAGGTTCAGAGGTCTCTTCCACAACCTCCCAAAGATCTTCAGCCAACAAGTAGGTTTTAAAGTGGAAACTCCAATCTTCATAATTATCATGACTAAGAACCTTAAGATTAGCAATTACACTAGAAACAACTGTAGCTGCCATGTTTAATCTGCAAATGTAATCAATTATTTAAAGTGATGTTAGGTCGATTAATTAAGAAAATAATGAAACAAAACAATTCAGCTAACTCACCCTGGTCGATCGAGTAGTGGCAATCTGCAAAAATAAGTAAGCTGCAGCTATTATCCAATGAGCTTAAGTAAATTCCCACTCTGTGCACATAGAGTGACTACACTTCTGATGTATATATAGATGTATAGCAAATGAGCGATGAAAAAGGATAAGAGTCCAGGTGGACGTCCATGCCCGTCTTTGTCAACTGCAGAGACGGTGCAGCTGTTTCATTCTATCGCTAGTTTCAGCCATACACTTCTTGTCTTCAATAATTAACGGGGATAATACTTGTCTTCAATAATTATGTGGCCCAATAAAATTATTCCACCTGTTTGAAACTCAATCAAACACTTCTTATTCTCCTAACCAAACACTCTGTCTTCCTCCTCAACCCTTCTTCCTCCAGCAACCCCTCACTCCGTTTCTTCTCCGGCGAACTATTTTAAAAAATTCCAACCCCAGCCCATTCTACACAAATCCGGAAAATTCTAGCACCAAAGTCGGTGCATCATGCAGGCATATCAATATGCTAGATAATTCTAGCATTATCCTATTAAGTCGGTGGGTGTGTATGTATAATAATATGCTAGAAAATTCTAGCATCATTATTTAAGTCGGCAAGGTTATTATGCGTAGCAGTATGTCGGTGCAGTGTGTGCATGAACATGCACTAGAAAGTGCTAGTGAAGTCGGCAAACATGCCTGTGTGTGTGTGTATTGCTATGTAACCAACCAACCAAGTGAGAGTGAGAACTAAGAGTAGTCTTGTGAGGAGTGTGAGTGGTGTAGAATTTATCTCTAGAAAGTGAGTGAGTGTCATTGTTTCTAAAGTGTCTTTGAGAGTTTTGAGTGATGTAATATTTTGTGTGTGTAATACAAGTAATTTGTTTACTTGTGTTGTCTCTCCAACACTTGTGTTAGAGTTGTGTACTTTAATTTTTTCCTCAACAATTGGTATCAGAGCAGTACGATCAGGGACCGTCTCTATTGAAGCTTTTGAGAATCTTGAGAAGTTTAGTACTTCACAAGATAATTGGTTAATCTTGTTCGGCTTATCGAAGCTCTGCCGATACGATGGGAGACCTTCAAGTTGTTGGAGGAATCAAAAAGTTGAACAACAAAAATTACAACACATGGGCGACGTGTATGGAGTCTTACCTACAAGGCCAAGATCTTTGGGATGTCGTCGGCGGTAATGAAGTTATGCAGCCGGAAGAAGACACCTGCTGGATTTTGCGAAAGTGGAAGATCAAGGCAGGTAAGGCAATGTTCGCCTTAAAAACAACGGTTGAAGATGACATATCGGAGCACATACGGAAGGCCAAGACACCAAAAGAAGCGTGGGACACCTTCGCCACACTCTTTTCAAAGAGGAACGACACAAGGCTGCAGCTTGTTGAGAACGAGCTATTATCGGTGGCCCAAGGGGATATGACGATTGCCCAGTATTTCCACAAGGTAAAGTCTATTTGCCGTGAAATTTCTGAATTAGATCCTAGTGCTGCCATTGCAGAATCCAGGATAAAAAGAATAATTATCCATGGATTGAGACCCAAATATCGGCTAACAAGTAGGTTTTTACCTGACAACTCCAATTGTCATAATTTTTTACTTGTAGGAACAATTTTAGCTATCATGTTCAATCTGCCATTTATTCAACGAGATTTCATATCCACCGAGCATATGTGAATAAAATAAATAAATAAATAAAAAGCAAGAAAACAAAATGAAACAAAGTCAGTCTGTCTAACATCACTTGAGGAGGGCTAGTGTCGTATTGGAAATCAAGCACTCTTGTGACCTTCCTCACCTATAGGTTTGAGGCTTCCCGTCCCTTTTTCCCCTAGAACCCCCCACCTAACTATTGAAAAACAACGACACTACATATTGAATTGGGGCAATAAGAGATGAGCTTTCTAATTAGTAAATTGGTAATTCTCCTGCACGTTTGCACATAGATTAGTCAGATGACTTCCTTTAATTGCAACTGAAGGAAGCACTTATCACATTAAAGTCATTAATATCTCCTTGATAAATAATCGAGAACCCGATACGCAATCAAATTCAAGTATTTTGGATTCTGGGAAGCTGCTAGAGTTGATGTGTAAACACTTTTTGCAGATTGCTTGATTGTCAATTTTAATTCAATCTTATCGAAAATCATCCCATTTTCTTTCAAATTCTCATAATTAACTACAAATCAACATATAAACGCTAACATGGCCTCCAAGTTCAATTGCTTAATCTGGGCGTGAATCTGTTATTTTGTGCAGTGGAAAAAATCAAACTTGAATCGAGCTTCGCCACAGTGAAATCGAGCTTCAAAAACTATTGGGTGCTCTAGATACGAGTCTAATATGGCTGGATCGACTGGTTTTGAATTTTCCATTTAAAATTTCCTACCCTAATCATCTATTAAGCCTTAAAAATAGAAATTTGAATTCTACAAATCAAATTGAGCAATTTAAAATGGAAGATTTTTAAAGAATTAAATGAGAATTATAGACCATATAAAAATTTGTACAAGCAATCACAAAACCAAACAAATAATCTAATATCACTACTACAATATTAGCTTTAGGTGACGGATGATGGTGGCGGATTTAGAAAAATACTGTCGGATAAATTATATCCGACACATTATTTAATTAGTCACGGATATTATAAAAATACTGTCGGTTATATCCGACATAATTTCCTGTCGGATAATTACTGGTGGATGCTAGAAAACTACTGTCGGTTATATCCGACATAAATTCCTGGTGGATAATTACCGGCGAACATTATAAAACTCTTGTCGGTTATAACCGACAATATTTTTGAATTTTAAAAAAAAAATGTTTTTGACAGATTCTGGCGGTTTTTAAGTTACTTGTGGCAGTTTTTAAGTTAATGGTGGCGGTTATAACTGACAGAAATTGATTATTTTATTATTTTAGTATCTAGCGGTTATTAATTTAGTATTTTGTCAGTTATAACCGATAGAAATTCACTTTACGCCAAACGTTTTTCAATTTGTTATTCTTTCAGATTTCGTTTTCTTCCTCATCTTCATTTTGCTCGTTTTCGCTTCATCTTCAATCTTTCTCTTCTCTTCCCCTCAATTTGTAAGTTTTTCGATTCTTTTGCTTCATATTTTAAAGTGTTATATTGTTTAAAAATAAATAAACAAATGGTTTAAATATGTTTTTATTTCAAATTTGTTCAATGCATTCTTATAGGATCAATGAGTGTAACTGTAAAAAATCATCAAAATTGGAGCTAAAATAACCGTTAAATTGTGATTTTTCGTTTATAACCGTCGAAAACTTTTGTTCCTTTACGTAATCCTGAATGTTTATTTTTTTGTAATTTTTTACATATGCAATCTCGGAGTGTGTATAAATAAATTTTACGGTTGGATCGTTGAAAAAAGTTTCGTAGAATGCATATCACGTCAAAATGGTAGATTAAACAAACACTTAAAGAGTTAATATTATACTTCCATCAAGTATAAAGTAAGAATCCACTAGTGTAAATATTTTAAATTGAAGATCAAATTTATTCATTGCATTCTTATAGGATCGAGGAGTGTAGCTGTAAAAAATCATTAAAATCGGAGCTAAAATAACCGTTAAATTGTGATTTTTCGTTTATAACCGTCGAAAACTTTTGTTCCAATACGTAATCTCTTAATGTTATTTTTTTACGATTTTTTCCGTATGCAATCTCGAAATGTGTACAAATAAGTTTGATGGTTGGATCGTTGAAAAACGTTTCGTAAAATGTGTCACATCCCGGCCCGGGGCGTACCACTTCCCGGACCCATTCCACCGCCGTAGCACGATATTGTCCCCTTTGGGCTTACCATTCCCTCACGGTTTTGTTTTTGGGAACTCACGAGCAACTTCCCAGTGGGTCACCCATCCTAGGAGTGCTCTGGCCTCCTTCTCGCTTAACTTCGGAGTTCCTACGGAACCCGAAGCCAGTGAGCTCACAAAAAGCCTCGTGCTAGGTAGGGATGGGAATATACATTTAAGGATCACTCCCTTGGGCGATGTGGGATGTTACAATCCACCTCCTTTAGGGGCCCGACGTCCTCGTCGGCACAATTCCGGCCAGGGATTGGCTCTGATACCATTTGTCACATCCCGGCTCGGGGCGTACCACTTCCCGGGCCCGTTCCACCACCGTAGCACGATATTGTCCGTTTTGGGCTTACCATTCCCTCACGGTTTTGTTTTTGGGAACTCACGAGTAACTTCCCAACGGGTCACCCATCCTGGAAGTGCTCTGGCCTCCTTCTCGCTTAACTTCGGAGTTCTTACGGAACCCGAAACCAGTGAGCTCCCAAAAGGCCTCGTGCTAGGTAGAGATGGGAATATACATTTAAGGATCACTCCCCTGGGCGATGTGGGATGTTACAGAATGCATATCGCGTTAAAACGGTAGATTAAACAAACACTTAGAGTTAATATTATACTTCCATTAAGTATAAAATAAGAGTTTGTGGTATCCACTAGTGTAAATATTTTTAATTGAAGATCGAATTCGTTCATTGCATTCTTATAGGGTCGAGGAGTGCAGCTGTAAAAAAAATCATCAAAACTGGAGCTAAAATAACCGTTAAATTATGATTTTTCGTTTATAACCGTTGAAAACTTTTGTTTCGTTACCTAATCTTTGAATTTTTTTTTTGGCGATTTTTTACATATGCAATCTTGTAATATCTACAAACAAGTTTGATGGTTAGATTATGGAAATTAGTTTCGTAGAATGCATATCTTCGTTAAATTTGCCTAAATTTTGAAGTGGGAAAAGTAATTTGTGCTAAATTTTTATTTATGTTTTTCAGGTATTGATTAGACAATATTTAGTTTGTGTAATGACATTTTCATTGTACAATTATCTTTTTGATTAGACAATATTTAGTTTGTGTGATGACTTTTTCTTTGTACAATTATCTTTTTGTTTCTTTATCGCATATTTTACATGGGTTATTATCTATTAAACTAAACAATTATTTATTTAATTTTTAAAAACGTATTTAATTTAAATACATATTATTTATTTATTTATTAAACCAAACAATTATTATTTTATTTTTTTAAATCGAATCAAAATTTTGGAAGGGAATTAAAAAATTTGGGAGGAAATTTTGGGCGGACCATTTTGTTTCTGTCGGTTAAAACCGACAGTAACTAAAATGTTTCTGTCGGTTTTTATTTAAAAAAATGTTTATGTCGATTTTAGCCGACAGTAATGAAAAGATTCCAAAATAAAACCCTTTCCCCTTCCCCTTCCCCTTCCCCTCCCCCTTCCTTCATTTCCCATTTCTGCTCTTATCCCCTCTTCTCTCTAACCTTGAGCCCAAATCCATGAGAGCTTTCTTCCTCTCTCTTCATTTCTCTCTATAATCTTCAGCCTCATATGTCATCCCTCCTCTCTTATCTTCTCGGCCTGCAACCCAAAACCAAAACAACCCACACCCCCATATCTTAGACATCTCCGTTTCGAGTTTCCTTTTTTATTAGAAAATAGACGAAACCCTCGTGCATGTGTGCTTTCAGTGCAGGTTCAACAATCAGCGGAGAGGGTGAAGAACACGAATAAAGCGACTGCAAAATTTCAAATCTGCCTGATACAAGCGGAAAAATCGAGGTTCTAGATCTGCAAGAAAAGGTATAAGGCCTCCTTCCCCAAACTCGAGCTTGATCTTGTGCATACCATATTTGGAGTTTGCTTGCAATATCTTGGTTTGTGCATGCATGCATAAATCAAATATGTTGTTCAATATGCTCATGAATCTGTTCTTGTTTGCTTGCATGTACCTACCAATATATTCTCGAGCCAAGCATGTGCATAACTGAATGAGTATTCTGCCTTGATGAGCTGTGTCCTTTGTGCTACTTAGATCCCCAAAAAGTTGAATGTGTGTATTAGGAATTTGATGAATGGATCTAAGTGGCACAGAAGCTTCTCAGTTGCCCCCTCTGTGAGTATTTCTGAACTGCCAAATCCCATTAATGTAGAGGAATGAATGATGAATGTGCTGGGGTGAATAAATGTTAATTGTATGCCCGTAGTTGAGATTAGGCAGAATCAACTCCGAATTGAATACAAAACTCAGTTCTATGGAAAATGAAGCTCGAAATTATTACACAATTGGTGGAAAAAAAAGTTTGAGATGAAGTTTCACTTACTGGTAGATGACTTTTGAAACAGGGTTGTCCAGACTGCAAAAGAAATCCATGGCTTTTGAAAGAGGGGATGTTCCAAATCTACCGTCTCTATCCCTCTCCAATGTTCTCCGTCTCTCACATCATCATATTGTACTTCTCCTTCCCCGATACATGATTTTTTGGGTAGTGAATCAGAAGGCAGGAGTTTCACGGCCAGTAAATGTTCATCTCCATGAGTGTCTCCTTTCGAACGGGCAGAATCTTTTGGCTCTCCAACTAATATGCGAGGATCTCCTGTTCAACATTGCAAGAGCCCATTTTCACGTTCTTCTGTTTTCTGTACCAATTTGGATCAGTCTTCTTCATCGAGCTCTGAAACCTCTTGGCAGCTTGGGAAATTTCCATTTCTTCCAAATCCTCCAACATACTGCCAGTCCAATTCGAGCCGTTCTTGTGATGCAGAAAATGGTTTAATTTTTTTTACTATTAATATATGTTCTGTTGGTTTTATCCGACAGAAAATGCTTTCATTTATTCTTAATAATAAATTTTCTGTCGGTTTTAACCGATAGAAATATTCTTTTATTTATTATTAATATATTCTCTGTCGGTTACATCCTACATAATTTCTGTCGGTTTTAGAGTATTTTCTTTCGGAAAATTCATTTCCTGACGTTGGCAATTATGTCACTTATTATATCCGTCATTGCATCTATTTTCTGTCGGATTTTGCTTAAAATCCGACAGTAATATACGTTTTTTGTCGGTTTTTGAACCGTCAGTTATAGATAATTTTGTAGTAGTGTATGTGGACACAATTATTTTTATTTATTGGGTGTGATTATCATCCATCTTCGAATTCATACAAACCCTTGATTCTATGTCACTAGTTAATTACACAAATTCTAATTAATGGTTAGGCAAAGAAACAACAGTCAGTACTGCTGCGCATCGCTTGTTCAATATTCAAGAAGCACTAAGAGTCTATATGCAAAAATGTTCTTGCCGCAGAATTAAGTTTCACATAAAAAAAATGTAACAAAATAATACACAATTTATATTTGGAGGATTTCTTTCTAATATTACCGAAGCTTTTGATAAACATAACAATATGTGGTTAAGTAAAGACAATTTCAATAACGTTGGTGGTAACTCACACTAAGCCAAAAAGTTTATTATAACCTTAGAGCATGTTATTCTTCCAACTCATTTTAGGCTCAATTTATTAGGAGTTTTCAAAAAATTGCGCTAGCTCTAACTTAAAGGTATTGATTTAATGACCAATCATTCGAAAAGATGTGCGTTGACTCTAGTACTTTGGGCTCTAAATAAGACTGTTGTTAGATTCAATATAATGACATTAAATAAGATATCTATTAAACATTATAACAAAAATATAATATGAATTTGAATTAAGTACACATTAAGGGACTAAAACCAATATCCAATCTAACACCAGGTTTTTATTAAATTTTAATCTTCTTTAAGGATTAAAGTTTATAAACCCTTATTTTTTCAAACAAAGTAAAGCTAAAGGACTTTTATTGTGGAGGGTAATAGGTAATTTTTAAAAACTAACTATATTAAATCAACTTTTCCTAGAAATTGAGTCGGCTTCCACTTTTGAATGCAAAACGGTCACAAGCCAATGTTGCTATGGGGAATTCTCTGTCGTGATCTTTAGCCATGGCTAGCTGTGGGTTTAACGCTAAATCAAATCTCTTGCAATATCTATATATAATAAAAGTGTGAAAAACAACAATGTAAGTATGCAGATAAAATATGTAACCTAAAAGATCACACACCGGCAAAAGAAGATATAGCTAGGGCGTCGACATTAATAATTGGTCATGTTTGAAACTCAGTCGATTCCCTCTCTTACCAAATCGTTTGTAACGAAAGCCGAGAGAAATGAATTGAGAGGCATCGGTAACGTGCAGTGTTTTGCGTGGAGTGACAGAATAGAGATAACGCTCCATTCTTTCCCCAATTGACAAACTCGGAGCGAAGACAACTAGAGGCGTCGTGTCGGCAGGTAAAATACTAAGTAATTTGTCATTCTTTTCAACCATGCGTTTGGCTACTTCAACCCTGTTTTGACGAAATGTTATTACAAGATTCAGAGCTGTGGAACCGAATGTGTCTTGAATTTCCAAGTCTTCCTTTGCCATTAACTCCACCAACTGTTCTATATTGCGCACGCTGCAGTTGTTAAGCGGCCGGACTGCGTAGCGAAGAGCTGTACCGCCACTTGAAATTCTTTCACTTCCTACCTGGGGATGGTCGCGAAGAAACTGGATCGCTTTATCCCAATAATTAGACTTCACATATTTGACGAAAGTTGCATGGATATCGTTTGCAATGCTCTCATGTCCTGCATGCCGTATTTTATTTTAACTTTGTTAACTGCTAACTTTCCCACGCAATATCTTAATTTGTGAGGGATCAAGGTATATATATACACTACCTGCATTGAGCCCTTCTTCCATCGCGAGCTCTGGCCTAGCTTCACGATCAGTTGGGGTTGGCTCTTCATCATGATCAATCGGGCTGGATACGCTTGAAGAAGTGACCCTCTCATCTAAAAATGAAAGTCTTGATATTCAGATGTTACCATCAATTCTTAATTTGTGTTTTCTTTTCCTTTCTTACAAATGCCTATGTGTGTGAGAAGTTCAGCTACTAATCAGAATGCTTTATTACTCCATAATAAATACAAAATATTCCTCGTCAAACCAGAATAGTACAACCACTGCCGTGTGTATGGGAATTGGGATAATAATCAAGATATCGACAGTGATGCTCACGGTGTTCACATATCCAGAAAGTTCAATTCTACTACTGGTTCTCCTGGGAAACATTGTTACACTATTTAAGACATGATTAACAATTTCAAGGCAGTTTAATATTTAAACTCTTGAGTAATTTGTGACCTTTCAGTTAACAATAAACTCTACATAAAAAATATAAGTACAAAAGAAAAAAAAGTTGTCAATCTCATGAAAAAAATCAACTAAAAACTAACTGCAAAACGAAGGCAATCAAATCAATACTCCAAGCCAAGATAAACCAAAAAGTTGGCCTATCATCCCTCGAGTAAACACGAATATCAGCCTGGGTTCTCCTTCTCATCTCATTTATAACTTACCTCCTTGTCCAAGGAGGCATCCAAGTACAAGAAGCCTAGTAGTGATTATGCCTCTATCGGAGAATTCACTTCTTCTGTTCTGAAGCTCAAGAATTGTCTCAATGGTTTGTGATCTGGGATTCCACAAAGCCCGAAAAAGTATGAGCAAGGTGATCCACAGCTAGCATATTCTTGATCCCCAGGTACCAGCAACCAGTTGGTGCACAGTATGTTGTCCATGCAAGTAACACTTCCAAGAATATGAAAAGAAGTTAAAGACAGGAAATGGCTGTGTATCACAAAATGGCATACCTCAAAAGCAGAGACGTGAATTACACTTTCTTCTGAATCCTTTGATGCATCCTGAGCATGAATACTGGCTCCTGTTTCCAGTAACCGCCCTTGCCAATAACCCCACCAAATTTCCCAGCTGAACACAAAATTTTCATGAAAACTCAGCTAGAGCTAGAGCTAGAGCTTCACCCCCATGTCCAGGAGGAAAACCATTAAAACCACCCCGGACAAATCCAGAACGGTTTTCATATCCTCCTGTCCATGGCATTGGCGACATAGTGTGGGAAGGAGCCCGATTAAACAACATTGGATTTCTAGGTGAAAGGAATGGCATAGGAAAGCCCGAAGGAGGCTTGTACTTCCTAGGATTCTGATGCAGTAGATTAGACACTTCATAAAGTGCCCTCTTTGTCATATTTGGCTTTGCAGGTATCTCTCACTTTTGTTGGAAGTTATAGGCACCAAAAAACAAATAACAAAGTACTTTTCATGTGAGTTTCATATAAGCATGTTTGAAGATTGAAAGTGACCAAGCTACAAAATCATATGCTTTTACAAATGTAAAAAGAAGACATGAAAAGTCTCAATACACCCACAAGTTTCCAGCGGCAGACTTCACTGGCACAAAGTGACTGCATACGTGGACCACTGGACTTTCATTCGTATACATAGACATATTTAGGGTATATATTTTGAGCACCAATAAATTTCCCAATAACAACATACACAGCTGGGAAGACATATTAAATTAAAAACAACAAAAATCATTTCTAACACAAAAATAAGTTTGAAAAAAAATTAACTTTAATCAACAGATGAGCTCATACGATGTCATAAGATTTGCTCTATTAGCTCAATCAAAAGTCTAATTCCATCTACATCATATAAAATCTTCTTTTGGAACATTATTTCCTATGTTAGAGAACATGCAAGGAGCACAAAAATAGAAAGGGTACCAGCACCAATTCATCAGTTTCCATAACACAGTTGGAAGCTGATCTGCAGGAAGGACAACCAACCATATTGTTTGGAACTAGAAGTCTTGTGGTGACAACACTGTTCTCATTGTCATCATCAAATGTAACTCCACCAAAACGATCTTCCTCGACAATCCTGTCATGAACTTTCAACAGAGCATCCTGGGCAGCACAATGCGGCTCCATTTCATTTCCATCAGCTAAATTTTCATGGTTACTTTGTTTGCTTGAAATTTTTGTTGGAGAGCTATAGATAATAATTACTCTCTCATCTGAGCCAAGAACAGAATCAGAAACCTTAATCTTTGCCGGGGGTCTCCTCTAAGGGCTTTGCCACCCTTCCCAATAACACCACCGATCTTTTTAGAAGGGCAGAGAATACGACACACAGTGTTGAGCAATTGATAATCCTCTGAAGGTTGCTTACGGCTTGAATCATTCCACTTTCCTTTCTTATAGTTGTTGTTACCCCCTCTTCTTTTAAACTGGATATTAGGGCGTTTCTTGAAAAGGTTTCGATTGTTCCCATCCATCATACCCCTCAATACTAATAACTAATAACTGAAGGGGACTGAATTTTAAGCAAACCTTAATACATGAATTAAACAAAACAATAACAAAAGTCGCCATTACTGCAAAAGAGCCGAATGCCATCCCAATTTTCTCGAGCAATGAAACTGGGCTCATCACTTACAATTTCGAACTGAACACTAAATTAAGCAAAAGCTATTGAATTCAGGGATTGCCAATACAAAGTGCAACCATACATTGTAAAGCTCGTAGTTAAAAAACGTACCTTGATCTAGTAAGGTATTTCCAACGAGCTAGCAGCCGTAATTCGCGAGCGTTAGGCTTCGAGCCATCGTCCTAGGGTCTAGGGCAATAAATTAGATGGAGGGTCCTCGGAGAAATGAGAAGAACTAGCACAGGCCAGTCAGTAAAACTGTAAAATTATGGTTTGTGGGGAAGTTCATGAAAAGTTTCTACCTCGCGCGAGAGAGAGAGAGAGAGAAACAGACGTAAAGGGAGTGTGGCTACCGCTTGCGGGGGCGACTGGCGGTCCCCATCTTCGGAGAGGAGAGAGATGAATCGAGGAAATGGAGCTTGGAGTCTTGGACTTGCAGAGTTTTGCCTGTATTGGGAACTTTAGAAAAACTCTGTTCATTTTAACAAAAAATTACATTTTTATATTAAAAAGTCAATTAGGTATTATTCACTTTACCCTTTATTTTGTTCTTATCGTTAAAACTCAAAATTTTCAAGCTCTTTTCATTAGTTTTCCTTATATTTTTTTGGTGGAAAAGGAGGTGGCCTTCGACACATTTTGAATTCGTAGGAAAGGCCTAACTTAACTTCGACCCGTTTCAAATTGGACATGTCACAAGAGGTCATGGACCAATTTGAAAAAATTCCCAAAATATTGGAAGACTCTTCGTGGATTTAGATTTTGCAGTATACTTAGAATATAAATCGGTATATTAATTACGTGTCGTAATATAAGGAGAGAGACACGGAAAAATGTATATTTATCCAATCTTTACTTATATTATGACACGTAATGTACTAATTTGTATTCCGGATAGATGAAAAAATTTCTCCCTTTACACGTGTTAATTCCAACATCCAATGGAATTGATCCTTGAGGGATAACTAAAGATTTCATTGTTTGAAACTTAGATAAAATTTAGTGAGTCCATTCAAATAGGAGTAAACTGTGGTGTTACTCCATCAATTATTTCTTCATCGACTTCTACAAGTTAGGTTAGTATTCTTACAAAGATAACACCAAACTAGATTTCTTCTCGCTCAAGAAAGCCCCAAGAGCATTTAGCACTTAACTAGTTTGTATTTTTCATCGTTCCTACATGAAACAATGCAACGTCTGAGTGTTTTTCAGTCACGACCTTTGCAAGCAGATACTTGGATGGAAACAGTTTATGAATAAAGATGCCCATTGCACCATTCAATCATCCAATTCATCCCTAAAATTCTGCCAAGGATTTTGTCAACAATGTCCTTATTGTATTTTCTTTTCATAAAAACAAGGCTTAATCAGATACAGGGTTTCTATGATAATACAGTATTCGAAAGATAGCTCATACAGTGAGAAAAAGTAAGAATTGAACCCTGGTGATAGAGACTATTAGGAATTGAGACCCGGATTAAAAACAATAGGCCTTCCTTCCCATTTTAGCTCACCGATTCATCCAGAACCAATTTCATGTAATTTGGCTTTGTTTGTTTTCTTACAACTTGAATTGTTTGAGTCATTTGATTAATTGGGTTTTTATTGTTTCTTTGTTTTGGGTTTTAATGAGTTCAGTTGGAAGAATCCCCACCGAATATGTTTGGGTTTTGAACTCAAATTTCTCTTGCTCAAAAATAAATCAAAGAAATATAAACAGAAGAAAGCATCAGAGAGACAAAATTTGCAGTCAAAATCATTCTACACACATGCAAATCTGTGAGAGTTGAGATGTGGGTTATCAGTGGAGGCAAAATGAGAGTTCTCCGTTTTGCCAATGTGAAAGAGAAAGACGTGGAATGGGTTAACATATGAAGAGTGACTAATTTAACCTTGCACATGAGACTCACGGGCAGCATATTAATGATACTTAACATAAATTTTAACTTGGGATTCAATTTCTAACAGTCCTCACCACAAGGGTTTATTTCTTAATTTGTTTACTACAGGGGATATTTTTCGAATGGGAGACTTTGGATGCGGTCCCTAGTTATGAACAATCTTTGACTGAAACTTTGTTGGTTTTCAATTTTTGATCTAAGTCCCTAAAATTAATTGATAATTTATTTCTATGTACGTTACTATATTTTTTAAATTAAAAATTAAAATTTATAGTTGTTTATATTAATGAGATTTTAAATAAAAAACATAATTTGTGGGATTAAAAATATTAAAATATAAATATACTATTGTGTGTGTGTGTGTGTGTAAACATGGGTACATTCATAAAAAAATAACCAAAAAATTATTGTATCAAAACATGGGTACATTCTTCAAAATGGGTACATTTAGCAAAAATAAAAATGGGTACAAATAAATAAAAAAATATGGGTACAATACAAACAAAACTTTAAAAAATATGGGCACAAAAAGAAATTAATATATGGGTACAAATTAAAATTGAAAGGAAAATTGGTACAAATTAAAAAAGGGTTGCAAATTAAAAATGGGTACAAACTAAAAATAAAAATATATGATAAAAAATTTAGCCATAAATATAAATATACTAATTGTAACATTTTTAATATTAAATGAATATATTTATAAATAAAAAATATTTTATTATTGAAATAATTAATGATATTATTAATACAAAGGACCTTGATCAAAAATTGATAAGTAATAAGGTTTTAATCAATAGAGTAGTAAAAATAAGGATGAAAACCTAATTACTCCTTTTCGAATACTATATCATTATGGAGACCATTTATCCGATTTAGCTTGCCAAACAAAGAAAAAGCAATTAATATCGTAAATATGTCAAACATCAATTGTGCTTCAAGTGTTATGAATTATTTTATTTTTTTTCAATCGTATGGCAAAGTCTTGCATTGTATATTAGTCTAGGTACCATAGTGTAGGTACAATATTTTCTTATTAAATGCATTAGTTTAGGTATATTACATGTTTAGAGGCAATGGATTAGGCTAGGTATAATAGTGTAGGTACAATCACACTTATGTAGAATTTTCCCAATGATTGAAATATAATATGCTTTTACATGGATTGACAAAGATGAATATAAAATGGTTTAAATTTGGAAGGAGGATCAAAGTAGTTTAGTTGATGCTCATATATGCAAAGTTCAATCTATTTAAAATAATAAGAAATCAAGCTATAAATGAGATTCTAAAAGTATAATTTACTTGCACTTAGTACTATGGTCTAGTGATATTCTTATTCACTTGTAAGTGAGAGATTTTAGGTTGGATTCTCGTTAAAGACGAATTTGAACCACATTATTGCTAGCCCATTGTGAGGCTAAAGCCCAACCTCTTACCCTTAGTGTAGATAATATCATTTGTGAAAAGAAAAAAAAATTAGATTACATGCCAACAACATTACACAGGAAATTAAAGAAAAGTATACTACTTATTAGTAAAGTTTATTCTTAATGAAAATAGCAATTTCTTTAAAATAAATTATGATGTGGGCTATGAAAGCTAACATAAATACAGAGGGTTAAAATACTAAACATTCTTGAAGTTGGAGTTTATTAACGAATCCGGAACACATACATTATACATGCTTTAGGCCCAAAATCATAATGAGTGCAGAAATCCTTTATCATTATTCTTTAAACAAATCCTATAAACTTCCTCAAAAGTGACAGAAGCAAATATCAACGCAAAATGAGTAAACAGTTTAAGACGAACTGAAAGACCAAGGTTTGCTTTTTTTGTTGATCAAAAATATTCCAGCTCCATAAGTAGAAATGAAGATCTCAACAAGAAGGGAAAATTGCATCCATACAAAGGAGACAACTGGAACACTAGCAAGTAAAATCATCGGATACACTAACCACTTTTTTGCTTCCAGCATAAGAAAAAGGGTTGAAGAAAATGCGATCATCATGGTAACGATCGAGGAGAAGAGGGTGAAAAGGCCTATCATCATCTTTGTTTGCAGTGATTTAAGAAAATCATCTTCAGCATAACGTGAGTTGAGAATTCCTAAAAATGTCACGACTGAAGTTGTGGCAGAAAAAAGTGAAAAGACATCCGCAACTATAAAGACCATAAATATCCTTTTATTTAGGAATACTGGAAAGCCTGCTTTACTCCCACCAGGAACTGAGAATACTGCAATAAACATGATTGTAACAATAAGAGCCGCTACAACCGTACAAGAAGTTGCAGTTGCTTTCATTGATCTTTCACCTTCTTTTGCCAATTCCTTGTGGTTCTTAGTAAATAGATCGCGGGCGGTCATGCCATCTGGATGGTTAACAACTTCAAGAAACTTGGAAGGTACAATTTTCTCCACCTCCTGCATTTCAGTGAATAGAAGAAACTTAAATTTTCTTTAATTTATTTTCTTCAAAGGCACTCAAATCTAACCCCAAGTAATTAATACTTTTGTACTCTTACAAATCCTTGATGTATGCCCTTTGACCTTGAATGTATATGCTCAAATCTAATCCCAAATAACCCAACATTCTGAGTTCGTAACAGTAATCAAAATTTTATTTTGGTTGTTTCCTATTTGAGAGTGCAAATTGCTTTCATAAATAATCAAGTTTTATTTGGTATAGCTTCCAAATAGTCAAGTAATATAGCGATTGACCACGTGGCTAGAACTTTATACAGTAAAACCTAATAATTTATAGACCTTGTGGATTGCTTTGGTGATCAACTCATTTTTCTTTAACTCACTACGTCTTAAATCTAAATCCTTATCCATTTATTCTAGCTTAAAATAGTAATATTGTTTATAAAATTTTGGTTCCAATTTCGGCCAATTATAAACAGAAATTATCTGCATTTTGTACTAAGCTTCCTTTTAATTCACGCCCTAAGAAGAGAGGTGGTGTTTAAATAGAATACTCCCATATCGGTTTGAATGAGGCCACCTTTTAGTAGTCACTTAAGTTTGTAATACTTTTTTATATATAAAGATATTGTGTTAGTGGTGGTTATATAGGTGTTGGTAGTGGTGGGTTCACATTTATACAAAGCCATTCATAATTAGATCTCAAACTCGCTATCAATGAGAGAAAAAAATATATATATATATAGGGAGAGAGAGAGAGAGAGAGTGAGGAAGAAATTCTAACCTTAAACCATTGTAATTCTCTTTGCATTTGCAGTGCTGCACATTGGATATGTTTAAGCTGTGCAGGTGGGGATAACCTCGCTGCTGAATGTAGTAAAGTATTGTTGAACTTATCTACTCTGGATTCAGTACGAACATTCATGATTTGGATAAATTCATGAAAAAAGTTATAGACTTTTTCTTGACGGCATTCAATGGAAAACTGAAACATGCCCTTTGCATTTTCGTCATATATCCCTAAAGCTAGGATATTTGCTGTAAACAGCTGACGAAGAAACTCATCATTCCCATGTTCAACAGCTTTGAAGAGTGCTGTTTGTACGGAACTTCCTTGCATTTGTTTAAGGCTTAAACCTTCTGTCATTTTGCACATGCCTTGTAAAACTTCAAGGGATTGGACATGGATCTGTTTCATTTTGTACATGTGATCGATTCCTAGGTTGACATAGAAAAATAACTAATCATTAAGTTTCAAAAGTATGACCAAAAGAAGTTCTAAGCGATGACTGAATAAATGTTAGATTAAAACTTGAATGAAAAGATTAACAAAGTGTTGACAAGAAGCATTACCGAAAAATTTACGGAGATTTGAGACGAGCCCTTGCAGTAAAGCCATAACTACATTGCAAATACAAAATGTTTTGCATTAGCTATTCAAAGAATTTGTTAATTAGGTATGATCTATAACAAAGTAAAAGATGCGCCTGAGGACATAACTCTCGTTTTACTATATAGGGTACTGGGAAAAGAAAAAAATACATAGTTCCATCTTACGTAGATATTACATACCTGAGCGAATTATGAGATCCCCTTGATCATTAACCGGGTCATTGGCTTGTTTTTGAACATCTATACGAACATCATGGATTCCAGAAGCATGTCGTATGTCTATACCTATCAAAAAAATAAACACATGCCTCTAGTCAATATATAGAACTTTTTTTTAGTCAAGGGTCTGGACACATTGAACCTTTTCTTTTACTGTATAAATATTTATGTATGTGAAAAGAGAAGTAAGGCGCATACCCAAAATAAATGATTAATGGACACTGATAACGATAGAAGTACACACTAATTTTGTTAACACTTATTTTTAGACATTAAAAGATAAACTCAAGAGCGAAAATAACTTACACTATAATATTTGAGCAAGACCCAAAACCAAAATTCTAATTTAACTCATAACCTTAAACACCACATATTGAAGTTGTGCCGCTATAGAACTCATCGCATCTCACCTTAGAAAAACTTGTGAAACAATTGAGGGATCTGTGAACTCGAACTTGAAACACGTTTGTATATGAGTACATCAAATATAAGTTTGTCTTATTTGTCTATTTGTATGCAAGGGACTTACCGGTGAAGACAAACATAAGAGCCATTTAGGTTTTGGCGCATTGTTTTACTATTTCTTGACTTAAACTAGTGAAGAAAAGCATAGTGTCAAGTAGAATATAAGCTCAATTTGACAGAACTACCTTCGATATCGTGAGAAACCACCATCTCCACTCTAAGTGGGTTAAGCAGACCAACCCTCTAAGGTCCCGCAAATGCCCACAACTATCAGGCCCTAACCCCTAATTCTCGCCATGCTAGCTAGCAAACATTTTGTTTTTCTTTGAGGGACATGGTTGTCGACCCCTTGCACCTCAACCCTATATAAAGTTGAGGTTCAATCATAAAATTAATTAGCAATATAAGAAGTAACTCAACCCCTTATAAGTCCTTACAAGGTTTCTCTTTTCACCAATATGGGACTCTTTACCTTCACATCATCACATAGCCCCTTACGTGTGATGAACTTTTGAACCAAACACGTGGACAACACAAATTGGGTTATGTTGAGCACGTGTGACCATTGGACTTCATAATCTACAGGTGTCTAAGCAGGCAGGGGAAGAGAGACTTGTTGACTTGCCTAAGCCCGCTATGGCCTACTAGTAGACGATTTATGGACCTCTTCCACTATAAATAGCCAAGTCATACAAAAAAACTGGTTCATCACAAACTCTATTTAGAATTCTCTACTGAATTTTAATTTTTCTCAAACACTTTTTGACTTAGACATCGGGGACAGAAATCTCCATCCAGATATACAATGCATTTTATTGTTTTAATTTTTTCATATTAATTATAAAATATATATAAAAAAAATCAGGTTTTGAGATAAATCAAGTTGCGGGAATTGTGTGCAGGTCTCCTTGCATGTATAACATTTAGGAAATATCTTATTGAAAAACCGGCCGACGCCCACCCAACTAGAGGGACAGAGAAATTAATAAAGTATAGAATTCATCATAGAATAAAGAATGTAGTTACTAACTGTTATAGATCCATTGTTGCCAGAATCTGAGACGTGTTCCACTTAAAAAGAGAGAGGGCATACAAGCCAATTCCTGTAAAAGTGTTTTCCCAGTAGAGTTTGTGGCAAATGTCAAGTTTGGACAACGCTGAATTAGATCCAATGCAATATCTACAATAGGGTAAAAAGAACAATTATATACATGAAAAAAGTGAGTAATCAATATTTGTTAGGGAACATGCTATTTAAACACATTCTCAAGTACAGTTGAGTTCTATAAATAATGAAACAGTCCACCTTAGTTAGACCGTGTCAGTAAATGTGTGCGAATATTGTATCTAAAACATTTATGTACCCAGTTCTTTGGAGCTAAAACAGTGGGAAATAAGATCAGCACCAGTCCGACAGTTATCTTGGGTCGACATCAAAGCTTCCAATGGAGTAACTGAATAGAGATAGCGAGCCAATCCCCAGTGGCCGCCATGGCAAGCCATGATCAGTGGGATCATATTCTGGAGAATATTGCATGGTATGCAAAGTAATCTCTTGTTCTTTTCGATTATGCATCTAGCCACTTCGGGTCCTATGAGCGTAGCTAAAGCTATAGCTGTGACACCATTAGCGTCTTCTATTTCCAAGTCTTCCTCTGTCATCCACTCCACTACTTCTTTCGCCATATATTCGTTTTCCATTGAAACTGCCATGTGAAGAGCTGTCAAGCCTGATAATGAACCTCTTTCTCTGATTGCGTCGGGATGCATGGTAAGATACTTCTTTGCAGAACTCCAGTCACCTTTTGCAACAGCATCAATCAAGGGTTGATGGTGGGGGAACTCGTTGAAGTCACCGTTAGTTTTATAATACTCTGTCAAGTAATATTATTTATTGTTTGTAAACTAAACGTCAAGAATTTGGGACGAATTATATATAATGTTGAAATAAAAGAGAACTGAATCAAATAAAATTAAACAAAACAATAGAGATTCATACATGCTCCAGTAGATATCACATAATATTACTACGTACGTACCCTCATTCCGCGTCAGACCGGTATTCAGCTCTTCATGTGCCATCAAAGGCACATCCTCTGCATCGATCACTCACGGTGACTTTATTAGAAGAAGAAAACTAAATCTTAATAGCTATAATATTGGAATTTACTGGGAAAGGAGACATGTAGTACGTGCGTACACATACCTGTGTTTTCCAAGGCTTGATCGGTCGGCTTCAACTTTTCAGCCAAAGTATCCCAGGCGACTTTGGCCGAGCTAATGCCCCGGATAATAAAATGAGTATCATCTCCGCAACAAGTATGGATTGCATGTAAAACCTTGGCGTTATTCTTCCTCCAAACCAAAAATTCCGCTTCACCATCTTCTTGTCTAGGAGGTTCAGAGGTCTCTTCCACAACCTCCCAAAGATCTTCAGCCAACAAATAGGTTTTAAAGTGGAAACTCCAATCTTCATAATTATCATGACTAAGAACTTTAAGATTAGCAATTACACTAGAGATAACTGTAGCTGCCATGTTTAATCTGAAAATGTAATCAATTATTCAAAGTGATATTAGGTCGATTAATTAAGAAAATAATGAAACAAAACAAAAATAAGTAAGCTGCAGCTATTATCCAATGAGCTGAAGTAAATTCCCACTCTGTGCACTTAGAGTGACTACACTTCTGATGTATATATAGATGTATAGCAAATGAGCGATGAAAAAGGACCAGAGTCCAGGTCGACGTCCATGCCCGTCTTTGTCAACTGCAGAGACGGTGCAGCTGTTTCATTCTATCGCTAATTTCAGCCATACACTTCTTGTCTTCAATAATTAACGCGGATAATACTAGTCTTCAATAATTATGCGGTCCAATAAAATTATTCCACCTGTTTGAAACTCAATCAAACACTTCTTATTCTCCTAACCAAACACTCTGTCTTTCTCCTCAACCCTTCTTCCTCCAGCAACCCCTCACTCCGTTTCTTCTCCGGCGAACTAATCTCACTCCGGACCACTCCCATTCCCTTTCTTCTCTGGTGACTTCAATTTCAATCCCTCGCCGGTGTCCAGATCTGAGCTCGGTGAAATTGGGTTATGGAAATCCGCGAAATTGGAGCTTGTGGAAGACAAGAGGTTTGGAACTTTGAAGTTCAAAAGAATTGCAGACTTTGATGAGAGAGAGAGAGAGATTCAGGGGCGGGAAGGCGGTGAAAAGGGTTTGGGTATCGGTCGGCGCCGGCGGTGAAAAGAGTTGGGAATCTGGAGTTTGGTTTCACTTTTCAGTTATGAGTTTAGGTTGGTGTTTGGTTATGGATTTCGAGGTGTTTGGTTACTAGAATAGTGGGTGTTTTAAAATTACAAATGTCTTTATATTATTGGCTTTTGTCAGTAGTCAGTACATTGGGGTCCTGACCGGGAAGGACCTCAAATGTATTAATACGTCTACACAATAAACAATATGCTATAACCATAGCAAGTAGCCCAGCTGTAAGGGCGCGAACTGCAGGCTCCCCAGTAAACAAAAAAATGTGGGAGGTTTCAGGTTTGATACTCCGAGTTGGTGAGTTTCCATGACTGTGGCCATGGTCAGAGTGAAATTCCTAGCCTCTCCAGGGCCAGAAAGAGTGGATAATTGTGGCTTGACATCAATTGTCCCCCTTTTAAATGTGAGAAAAATAAACAATATACTATAAAGGTGAATGTATATAGTTACATTGACACACCCCGATCAAAATCAAGGCATGATGAGGGTAACGTAGCCATGAGCGCAGAGCTGAAGTGATAGTGACATGAAAATGTGAGTAATTAAAAAAAAACAAAACTAACTAATTTACACTAAGATAACTATAAAAGTGTGCAGAGGTGTTTAAAGTAGTAATGCAAGTACTTAGATCGTAGGTAACCTAAGTGCAGTCCAACAGGCTAAGTATTAATTATACAAGACATGAAAGAGATTCCTACATTAATTGAAGTCTGTCAGAACTGTCGTAGAGTCATCGTAAGCCACCAACAAGAACATCTAACTAGAACTTGGAGGGGCTCAAAACAGAAAACGTGAGTGGGCAAAAACAAAACTTTTTAAAACCATTTCTCTTTCCAAACTTTCTATAATTAGAAAGAAAAATACACTTGTAATGAGTGCAGAATAAGATTTTTGGGGTGTTAATAATAGTTCCCTTAAAAAAAATAAAAGTTAATAATTATTAGTTGGATTATAGGTGGTACTAAAAAAAAAATTCAATATTTAATCTCACACCCAACTGTGATGAAAAATAGATCTTATTTAAGGAAGAGGATCCTCTCCGGATCCACTTTGTGGGGATCTTAGGGATCTCCACATCCTAGCTGTTCATCATACATCGTATAGCCAGTTTTCGTCAGGTACTATTTGTGTTTAATTTTAAATAAAAAAAGTCAAATGATTTTTTACCACACAATGCGCGATGAGCGGCTAAGATGTGAAGATCTCTAGAATCCCCACAATTTGGATCCATATGGGATCCAAATCCCTTATTTAGGATTATAATCTAGTTTCATGTACCTTTATTATGTGTCCACCCATTTAACATGGACAAAAAGATGATAAATTTGAAGCTACCTTCAAATTTGATTTTTGATATTTCCAAAGGGATTCCACTTACCTTACCTTAAATTCTAGCATATTTAAGTATTATTTTATTATTTTTAAACCAACAACTCAACTTTTATTATTTTTGTTAAAAAAAACATAAATGAATCAATAAATTTGGCATACGAGGTGGAAGAAAAATATTAACAATATGTCAAATTATCAAATCAGCCAACAAATTTAAATTTGATGTTTTGAATTTGACGTCTCTTTTGGAGATGCTCTTAGGTCAAAATCCTAGGTGGACTGTCACTGTGCATATTTGACATTAAAAGACTTTCCAACTGAAGTGTCATCTGCTGACTGGATTTGAATGTTTTGTGATTAGAGCATCTTCAAAAAAAGATGTCAAAATGACCAAATCAGCAATAACGGTAATAAAAGACATCAGTAATATTTTCCAACCGAGAAACCAAATCTGATATGACATGACATAGAAAGACATATTTCGATCTTGCTGTTAAATTTGACAGCAGCTTCAAATATTTTAAAATTAATTATTAAATGTCTTTTTATTAATTTTTTATTGTTTTATTCTCTTCTCTATTTTCTCTTTCCTCTGTGTTTTCTCTCTGTGCCGATCTGGTCCCTTCCCACATCCACCTCTATCTCAATTCTCATCCTCTCAATCCCTCTTTTCGTTGCCCACCTCTTAACCTAGCATGTCCAACCCCTGTTAGAACCAACTGATTCACCTACAATATCTTTACTCTAATCTCCCATATGCTTACTAAGTTCCCCGCCACTTATTTCCCTACCAAATGAAAATGCTGCGTTCCGCCCCCATCCTCGCCCGTTGGTCTCTCCGAGTCTCTTTCCACACGTGTTCAGGTGGCTGCTGTGGTGGTGCTAATCTCAGTGGCGGCAACGGCTGCTAGTTCTTGAAGATATTTTGCTGTAGGTGTTTTAGGGTTAGTGCTAATTTGGGGCTTCTTGTACTTTTGTTAAATTATTTGTATTTGTATTCCATTGTTAAATAATATGAATTTTTATTATCAATTATCTATATATGTAAAATTTTGAAATATATTATGAAAAGAAAATAGTGTAATAAAATAATAATTTAATTGGGTAGAGAGCAAAATTTAAAAAAAATGTCAAAATGTCAAAATGCCACATAGGCTGTCAAATTCAAGATTTATTTGACTCTCTTTTGGAGATGATCTTAGGAGTCAAATTTGACATTGATGTCAAATTTATTTTTAATTAATTTTAATGATGGGTCCTTCCATTAACATTTCAACCAATAAAAAATTTGTTTCAACATTTGTTTTAATAATTACAACCATTTAAAAATCTATTTTAATAAGAAAATAATATTTGATAATTCGGTTGAATAAGTAGAAAATTTGACATAAGACTTCAAATTACTTAACCATTAATTATAATTTGATTCTTATAATTTGGCATTTTCTTTGAAGATGATCTTACTTGGTATTATATTTTTTTCACCAAAAAGTTGTTTTAAAGTTATGCACTAAAATATTTGGTAAAAGTAAGCAGCTTTGCTGCTTTCATAAAAAGTAGAGCTTAGCTCATTTAATAAATATTTTCAATTCATGTAATACATTTATTAGTTACTTAAAAAGAGCGATTTTTTAGTATAACTGACACACGAGGTGGTACATCACGTGTCACTATACAAATTGTGGGATTTGTGTATCAAAAAGTTAATAACTTAAAAAATAAAATTTTACATCATTGATATAAAAACACATAGTGTACCACTTCTTGTCGTATTTAAAAAAAATTCCTTAAAAGACGTATATCCTTTTACACACACATTCTCTCTCTTAGAAAACAAAGTAAGCATCATTACCTACCGCTTTACACCACTACCGCCATTACCACCGCCTTCACAACCACAACCACAACAACCGATGTTGCCACCCCTACGACCATTGCTGCCTCTGCATCCCCAATTACCATACCCCACATTAACACCGCCACCATAATCGCTACCACCAGCACCACAACGATCGCCACAACCACCTATGACTGCAAGTCTGTAACCACCACACCAAACATGGAAAACAAGAAGAAGGATTTTTTTTTAGAAAAACTAATGAAAGGGGCTTGAAAACTTTGAGTTTTAAAGATAATGACAAAATAAAGGGTAAAGTGAATAGTATCATGATTGACTTTTTAGTGTAAAAATATAGTTTTTCGTTAAAGTGAACAGTACCGGGAGCTTTTTGTTAAAGTTCTCATTTTTTTTTGGATTGAAGTGCAAACATTATTACAAAACACACACAAACACAAATATTAAAAAATTATCTTAGGAGTTCCTAAAATTTTTTTATTCTAACCATGCTCTTTAATTTAAGAAATTAAGTGACTACAAACTAATAGAAATATAATTTTTATTTGTCGATTAGTGTAGAATATCACTTAAAATTCAAACAAAGTTAACAATGAAAGTGAGAAGCTCCTCTCACTCCTCAAACGTCAAAAATTGAATGCAATTTTGGCATCTTAAGTGCATAATAAGGTTCATGACATCGAGTGATTAGAGAAAGATTCTCGACTCCAAATCTAAATTATATCCCACGTGAACTTGATGATATTTTTTAGGTAAAAGTTTTGACATGTACTACTGTTAACCCTAAAAACTACCAAGCCTACGTGGCGCGTAGGCTGAATAATTAATGAGCTAACTTCGTCATTCGGTTGTGTAGGGGCATGCCAACTCGTCGGCCGAGCTTAGCCGGGGAGTAAAATGTGTTGATGTCGCATTGAGCGTGCTGCTTACTTCTTGATCTTGCGACTGCGGCCAAGGAAGGAACACGTCTCGACCTTCGGGTTCTAGAGCCTGAAGACAAGGTTGCTAGTCTTGCGAAGTTCACGGATCGTTGTCGCCGGGTTAGGTCACGGTGATTATATTCGGAAGAGTATAAGCACGGCGAACTGGCACCAAACTATATAGACACAAGTACTCAAAAGAGATGTATGTCTTGATAGTGAACGTGGTTTGGCCGTCAGAATGCCGAACTCTAAAACTTACTTGTGAATATCCAATCATAAAACAACTCAGTGTTCGATGTGCCGAGCCCAGTAATCTGTAACACCTCACTTCGCCCATAAGGCTAATGAGATGACCTCTGCCAATAAAGATTTGAAAATCCTTCTCGACCGAGACTTGGATAGATAATCAGTAAGCCTCAACGTAGTGCTGTTTATCCAAACTGAAGGTGCTCCTTGGTCGGCTGATTTTACGGCAACAATGCTGTATATCCAAACTGAAGGTGTTCACCGGTTACCTTCACAATGCTGTTTATCCACACTGAAGATGTGTCGGCGAAAAAGAAAATAAAAATCTCAAGGTTGTTGAGAGGTTTCGCGTAGAGCGAGAGTTTGTGCAGGGCGGTTTGTGTGTTGAATTGCAGATGGCTTTCTATGTCGCACGACCTATGTATTAATAGGGACATGTCTTGATGAACACACTATGAAGTTGTTGCCGTGGCTTGGAGTATCCAACCGAAATAAATAATATTCAAGAAAGTAAAGAATACAAGATGTATCGTGGTTCACCCTAATATTTGGGCTACGTCCACACTGATGTTGATATTATTTCACTCTGAATGGTGAATATATAAGAAGGCTAGAGGCCTAAAATTTGACCCCCCATAATGAGGAGAGTGAGAAGTCCTTTTATAGAATAAGGGCTCATCACTTATTACATATTTGCCCTTTTATTTATTACATAATTATATTTGAGTCC